TGTGTAGTACAGGCCCTTTAATTTGCAAACAGGTGCAACTGTTAGAAAGTTTTTTCTTACATCAACCTTGAACCTCTCATCCAGTAACGTCTTCTCTTTAGTCGGAGTTCAGTACAGCACAGAAAAGGTTTCCCATCTTCCATCTGGCAGTGTTTCATATATTTAACCAGAGCCACCATGCTCCACTTTCTCCATCCCTCTGTGGGCTGAACTCCAGGCCCCTGCCATGACGTGCTTACATTCCTCACCATAGGAGTAACTGGCATGAGCAAGGCAGAGGACTCTCTCAATGGCAGCACTCTTTCAGTGAAAGGAATTGAGGGGCACTTTTTAGCAGTCATATCCCACTGAGGCTCACCCTGAATTTATGGTCAACTAATAGCCTTTGACTTGGTCTGGCCAAGTTTCTCCATTATTGATTTGCTGCAATGATCATTAAAACAATTACACCAAAACCACTTAGTCCACTGGGATTTATGTGTCTCTCTTGTCAAATTTCATCCTACTGATTTGGGACCCTCACAGAGCCAAAGATACTTTTGGATCTCAAGTTTGTCACTTGCTATAATACATCTTCATTTCACATCACTAATAATGCTGATTAGGCCAGGGCTAGTGACAGAGTCCTGAGAGGCCCCTGGCTCCCTTCTTCTGGGTCCCCCAACCATTAATCAACACTCTGCTGGCTCAAGATCCTAAGACAGTGGACTGACTACAGATCTACTCAACTGTGCTTTTGCCTATGACCTCTAGATGCAGTCTATCGGTGGCACTTGCCTTGTGTACCAGTGTAGCTAGCTATCTTATCACAAAATGGACTTATTTGTTAAGGGTCATGGGATTAAGGCAGAAGGAAATCTGCCCTCTTGTGGGCTTGGGGCTGGCTTGACATGGAAACCAAGAGGTGCTGGAGCACATCATCTCTAGGTCACACATGGTCATCACTTGGAGAGAACACGATACCTTACTGCTACATATAATCCAGTTAGTGAAAATGAGGGTCGTGTGCTAGGCATGCCATTTTGATGGGCAGCCAGGAGCAGGTACAAACACCTGGATAGAAAGTTTCTAAAAGAAAATTTCTGACCAAGACAGGCAGATTCTCTGAGAAACTGCTTTCTCCCAGAAAGTACTGGGGAGTTTAGAAGGAAAAAGTTTTTTGAACATAAACTTCTATATTTCAAGAAAATTACCATTTATTTCTGGAATCTAATAAAAACTAGTGATGCAAATTATATTTTTGCCAGTAAATACTTTAATTTTCCTAAGAAGGTAGCACCTGCATATACATTTTAAAAGACCCTCCCAGCTCCTTAGAAGAAAACTCAGGCTCCTACTGAGAATTTTTCCTGCCAAGGGCGCAAGCTTGCCATCTAGTGGTGACTCCTGCCAACTAAAGGTGGTTGATCTCAGTAGGATGGTTTTGGTGGTTTGGTTTGTTTTTTAAAAAGCAAAAAGTCTCTTTTAGTTATATACTATCACGCACACACACACACACACACACACACACACACACACTGCGCATAAGTACAGCGAGGGAAACACTGCACTTCCCCCACTCAGTGGCATTTAGACTGAGGCCCATGTGAGCCCTCAGTGTAATGAATGAGTTGAAGAATGGCTTGGATCTGTCATGTTGGGTCTGTCCTCTAGTCTGTGAAGAAGTGTCACTCATTTACTCACTCTTTCATCTCATCCACCCTCTCATCCCACTGGTCACTCATCCGTATGATCATTAAGCTCCAGGCCTGACAGAGCAAAAAGAACCATGTAAGATCACTGGCATGATTAACTTGTGACAACAAAAACAAAAGAAAACAAACAAGACAAAAACTTAGAAGTGATACAATAATAAAATTATAGGGGGTATTTATATTGGGTCAATTCCCAGTTTTCACACTATCTGTGTCTAGATACATCACCGTAAATCAAATCATGTTTTCTCATTAAAAGACCTGGACCTGACAAATACTTAGACTTGAAGAGATCAATATAGATCCTTAAGGCCAAACTATAACATTTTTATATAGTTCTATAAGAATTTACAAATAAAAAATTCTGGAAGTTCTACATATATGATAATATATAAAATGAAATCTATAACTTAAAAATAATACTTTGTTAGTTATAACAAACATTAAACACTAAACTGGGAAAAATCTTGTTAGCAACCCAACAATTTAGGCTTTTTTGATAATGAAAGAGTAATGCAAAGTGTGTAGTGAGGGCTTTTTATTTATTTGGTAAATTTATTTATTTGGTAGTAAGAAAATGGACTCAAAATCTTTACACGAAATTTGTCATAGCATTTTTCAAAAATAATTTCCGGCTCTACATTTTGTGAGGAGATGGCAATTCCATGCACGGATGAATAGTAAAATTTTAAAAGCAATGTCAAAAGGATGCAAGATGATTTTTACAACATACAATTTGTTGTGAAACAGTTTTATTTTTAGGAATACTTTAATTTTTATTACAAATAAAAGAGGAGTAAAAAGGAAGGAAGCTAATAGTTCCATGTTATCTCTTTATCTTCATAAAATCCCCCTAAAGGAGGCTCAAAGGAGTTAAGAAACTTGTTCAAGGTCATAAGACCAGCCACTGGAAGAGTGAAGCACTTGGTTTTGAACTTTGGTCCATCTGACTATAAATCCTTGGGATGTGAATGTGCCTCCCATGACGATTCTCTCTGATTTCCACATAAAGGTCAACAGAATGTGAAATTAACAGAAGTCTCAAGTTCAATTAGTGATGTCGTCCTAATTCTGCTCACCTTCTTCTATTCTTATACCTATTTTATACTATAATAGATTTATTCCTGCAAAGCTCACCAACCCTTATTACTTCCTGAGAGTAAGAAATTACTATACTGGAGAAGTAGAATTACTTTAGTTCATATATATATTTTAAACCTATATTGCAAATGACTTCAATGGTGTGCGTATTTCACATTCTCACATTAGAAGAGAAAGGAAAAAAAGAGTGAACGTTTTTCTTTTTGGGTAATTTAAAAAGTAAAATATGTTAGAATGAGCACAATATCTTCAAAATGTCCTGCAAACTGTAATTTTAGAAAAACTACCCTGCTAAGTAATCACGTATGGCATTTAACAGAAATAGATAACGCTCTGGTGAGAAGCAAGTGGACAATGTCACGCAAAACCAAACCGCAAAGTGGAGGGGAGGAAACTAAACTTTAATTTTCAATCACTGAACTTCAGGGTTTAGAGAAGTTTTGAAACAAAGGCCAATTGTGAGTCTGTTCCCACGAGATGATCCTACATAATTCAGGACATAGGAATAATGAATGCAGACAAGAGAAAATTGCTGCAGGTTATGGAGGCAACTATGCAGAAGAGAATGTTCAGGCTACTGCGGAGATGTGGAATTTGAGGAGCAATTAAGTCAGAACTCGGTCGCTTGACCTCAGCTCCCTTCATTAGCCAGTAGCTGCAAGTTTATGAACATAATTACAGCGAACTAACTGCTTGTGTATTTATTTCTTGAATGCCTATTTTTCCTACTTGAATGTCAACTCCATGAAGGCATCTGTCTCTCTGTTCCCTGGCACAACCTGGCACAGAGCCAGCACGCAATAAATCTCCCTAATGCACAGCTTTGTGTCGTCTAGTGGTTAAAATCTTGGGCTCTGTAGTAGGACAGAGCTCAATTGAGATCTTAGTTCTTCCACATATGAGCTATAATGGCTTTGCACAGGTCTTTGAACTTCTAGGCACTCAGTTTCCTTACCTGTGAAATGGGACAGTAATAGAACCTACCCCATATAGCTGTTGTGAGGATTAAGTGAGATCATGAGCGTAAAGCACAGGGCTAGCCCATGGGTGGGTCGCCATCTTAGCAGACTTCATCAGCCCTTCTTGTGCCGTGAGAGTTGGGTTGCTCATCTGCTTCTCGACTTGGAAGCTCATTTGGGTCACGTGGGGGAGCTTGTTTCAAGGAAGATCTGTACCCTGTCACCAGTCACCAGATTCTGATTTGCTAGGGCTGCAGGGAGGCTCAGAAATTTGCATTTTTAACAGGCATCTGGGAGTAGTTCAGATGCAGGGACTCTTTAGACCACCCTTGGAGAAACACTTCTTTTGAAAGAGAATCCTCAATTCCCGGATTTCTGAAGAGATGGACAAACTAACAGTAATATATAATACGTGACTCTTGGGCCTGGGTAATGAAAGTAAAAGAAGAACTAGCATCTTGGGGTGGGGGGGATAAAATGAATAGATTTCATTAAAATTCCAGCCTGGATAGCCAGCAAAATTTATGTTACTCCCATATTCACCAGTGACAGTTCCCCAAACGCCCAGTCTCTGTCTCCTCAATTCTTTCCAGTACTGTCCCCTTAACAACTGGACTAGGAAAGGATCCTCATTTGCTTGGGTAAAGAACTCCTAGTGTTTCCCCAGAGACATGGAGTTCATTAAAGTTAAAACAAATAGTCTTAAAGGGGGATAGGGATGTCTCTGATTTTTAAAATCAGTCTTCATTGTGATTATTTTTAAGCTGAAGGGCTGGTCTCTTTAAAACTCATGACTTATTGTCTTAGCTTTTAGATCATATTATGGAAAAGTAAATTTGGGAGACTAAGGGCGTCCTTTTTTTTTTTCCAAGTGAAAACTTTTAACATCAAAGTGCTGTAGATAAATAAACATACATGTAAATGTTCCTCATGACTATCTTGGTCTAGCCTAAGGTCTTAACCACAGCCTTAGATTTCCCAAGCTCTATTCCCCCAACCCTGTCTCAGGTTTTTATTTGTTAATAATTAGTCAAGTACTCCTAACGGCACATTAACCCCTACAGATATACTTAAAAGGTTCGTTTCTAGCTAGTCACTGAAGTCCAGCTGGAAACTAGCCTTTAAAGTATATTTCTTTTCAAAAAAGAAAGGAAAGGAAATAGGAAAGAAAAAAAAAAAAAGAAACATTCATGTTCACTCATGAGTGCTTGGAACTCAAGATGCCTGAGGTTCGAATTCCTCTTACCAGTAGGTTCTCTGGCTTGATGTCCCGGTGGACGATGTTCAGGCTATGCAGGTATTTGATGGCACTGGCCAGGTTGTAGAGCATCCCACTGGCATCCCGCTCCGTGTACTTGTTGGTTGAAGTAATAGCATCAAAGAGGTCTCCGCCCTGAGAACAGAACAGCACGTGGAGCTGCAATTAGCAGATGGTCCTGGAGAGACAACTGACACATTCTCAAGGAGATGAAGACGCATGCAGGATCTCTGGGCTCCCAGCGCTTTCCCTGCCACTTCCCTCTCAAAGGCCCAACAACTCCACCTGGGGATTTGTCTCCCCGCTGTGAAAGCCAGGGGCATTTCCTCCATGGCTCAAAGGAGCAGGAGGAGAATTCTCCACCATTGGGACATGCAGTCATATCCACAGCCCCAGCCAGGAGGGAGAGACAGAGCCAGGTCTGGCGGGTGCCCTCGTGGCATGTGTGACATGCCTCATCGCAATGGCCAGCAGAAGTTCAAAGTCACAACCCCAACCCTCCCAAAATGAGAAACAGGTAATCCTGCAGACCACATCCTTAACAAAATGTGCGGCTGCCTTATGAAGCTCACACACACACACACACACACACACACACATGCACACACTCAGTTCCCTTCATTCTCTAGATTGTGCTCTCTTGGAGTGGGTGTAGTGTTTTCTTTTCCAATAATGTGCTTCTTTGTAAGGAGCAGAGAAAAAGGACCAGAAACTGTCATTCCAAAGATGAGAGAGAAAAGAGAGGAGGAGGGAGGAGGGTGGAGGATTTTCAAAGAAAGTTTTCTAGGACCATTATTCATCTGAACTTTTGTTTCCCTTGTTCCTTGCTAACTTATTGTTATTTGGAGAAACAGAATGATTTTAGGCTCCAATTTTAGTTCTCTTTATTGGAAACGCTTTCAGAAATTTGGGTCTGATTTACTAACGACGTTTGCATCGTTCTTGCACACAATGCACCAAATAGCTGAGCACGGGAGTCAATTGTGTTCATCTGTTGCCTAATGTGGTGAGGGATTTCATTTTTGTTTTTTTAAATGGCAAAAGCAAAATACAGGCCTTGCAGGCTGATAGTTTTCGAATCTCACTAAGCTGGCCTGTCCTCCGTTGCCTTGCACCACCTCTGCTCGGGAGGCTTCTCCCGCGGCCCATTCAGCCTCGGCAGTTCCCAACCTAAACACACACACGAGTGTCAAAATGAATGCCTTCTCCGCTTTCTGTTTCTCTCAAAGGCAAGGCTGCCCGAGGGTTCCGTGCCTCTCCAGGAGGCAGCATTTTCACTGTGGTCTACATGAGCAGCACCCCGATGCAGTGGGATGGGTGTGCGGCTGTGTGTGGTGACCCACAATGATGCCACCGTTGTCCTAGTTGTCTAGGTAGGCGCCAGGCATCCTGTGACCTCACGTCTTCCACATCCCCAACAAGACAGTCAACCAGTCCTTCCTGTAAGGCGGGTAAGGCGTGCCACGTCCACAGCCAGTCCACTCCATCTGCTGGGTAAAAGGTTTTGCTGCGCTGTCCCGGGGTGGTTCTCATGAGGCCTCGCAATCTACACTGCTTCCGGCCTCTTTATTCACAGCACCCAGCGAACGGACTGTTACCTTCCCGCATGGGATGTTGGCCTTTTCCTTCTCCCTTCAAGAAGTCGGCATTCCTTTCCCGTGGCTCTCCATGTCCGGGTGCCCCTCTTCATTCCAACCTGTCTCGATGCATCTCCTGCCACTCGCTAGACCCGTGAGTCGCCTTTATGCTCCAGGTAGGAGATTCTTCCCCCATCACTAAAACATGCCCAAATTACCCTGCGTTCCAAACCTGTCCTCCCAAGAGCCCCCTTCCTGGAAGGTCCCTTCGAGTGCCTTTGTCTTTCTGACTCCTGCTGATCAGTTAGGGCCCGGCCGCAGGGCCACCTCCTGCACAAGGCCTGCATTCCTCTGAACACATATGCAGTGTGTATGTGCACACATCTGTAGGCAGAAGTCCAAAGGCCTGTTCTTATTAATTACGGAATTTCACTTGTAATTACTGTTACTTCACTGTTTTCCAGAATCCAGGCCTTGTTTATCCTACAGCTGCAGGCCCTCTTTGGCGCACCACTGGACTCTTGAGAAACGTGGCCCTAGCTACATTTGTCAGGGGGAAATGTTGTGGGAGCCTTTCAAGTCAAGCCTGGGGTTGGCCTTCACTTCCTTGGGATGCTTCCAGACCTGGCCTCACAGCAGTTCTGGGTCAGCCTAAATTTAAGGGTATGATCTGGTAGTACAATGGACGGGTCCCGACGCTGGACCATGCAGACACTCTCTGGCCTTGTTAGGCTATCTTGGTCCCCCAGAGGGAATGTTGAGTGAAGTGAGGACCTCCCAGTGGTAACTTAGCTGTTGTCACCTGACTAAACTTAAGCGTGACAGACTAGGCTTTCCCACCACAGTGTGTTCTAAACTCTTAAGCCTTTGCCTCTTTCATTTCTCAGCTTCAAGTTTAAGTTAGTCTTAACTCTTCAAAAATCAGCCAATAAAAGGAGGCTAATCAATTTCTAATAGCACTCAGAAGAGCAAGAGGAATGGTTTGAATTTCTTGCTCTCAAAATTAAAGTCATTGTAAAAATATTATCCTGGGTGCTAGAGAAAGTCTATTTTACAATATTGGGAGTTACCAATCTTTATTTGGCCATAAAGCACCAATATAAAAATCTTCCGAATAACTGAAATCAACCTTTTTTTGTCGAAATAACAGTTTACCATTTTTTATCTCCCTTGGTCTCAAATGTGACAATACCTAGTGTCACTACAAACAAACAAGTCCCCCCCCCGAAAGAAACAAATCCTAACACGAAGTAGGAAAAAGCAGGCTTCATCTGTAAATATAAATAACCACTAAAAAAAAAAAAAAAGCCAACAGATCTAAAGTAAAGCAATTCTGAATAATAAAAGCTTAAAGGACCCTCGAATGAACAGTTTTCTATATAGTAACAGATCAGTTTATTACATGCTGTCTTTGTCTTAAATCTTTACAGAGGAAATGCCACATTCCACAGTGCTGATTCCTGCCACCAGCTGGGGCGTGTGATTCCAAACATGGTTCCTGGAGCCCGAGGCTCTCACTGATGGGTGCACACATTTGATGCAGAGGTGGTGTGACTAATTTACGACATTTTACAACTAAAGTAGAAATTAGTTACACCTTCAGTTAGATTAACATAATAGAAAAAAGGCTTGAGAAAAATAGCACTTCATAAATACTAAACATTAAATTTGTAAAAACTTTTAGTTACTGAAAATTTTAAATATGGAAGTAGAGGGAATGGGCAAGTCAGCTTTAACTTAGATTCAACGATTATCAACATATGGCCATGTCTATATTCTATGATCTAATAAAATACAGATGTAATTTTATGTGACAGGACGAGGTTGTAACATCTACTGAAAGGCAGCAGAATATTTTCTAGTGCTATTTTTCTATTACATTCGTGACTAAAAGTTTAAAGCTTTTTTTTTTTTTAATAAGAATGGGTGATACCTTTGGATGTAGTTCACGAAAAAGTGCACAATTTCTACAGCAATGATAACAATGATCATTTCTGTGATACTTCCTGTGTATTAGAAAGTACATTAGTGGGGGCGCCTGGGTGGCTCAGTCAATTAAAGCGTCCGGCTCTTGATTTTGGCTCAAGTCACGATCTCAGGGCTGTGAGATCAAGCCCCGCATTGGGCACCATGCTCAGCAGGGAGTCTGCTTCTCTTCCTCTCCCTCTCTCTCTGCCTCTCCCCCTCCTTAAAAAAAAAGTACATGGTATAAGTCATCCCTCTTACCTTCACCATAACACTCCTGGTAGGTAATATTATTCCTCTCATTTTATATTTGAGGAAACTGAGGTACAGAAATGTATACCCAAGGTCAGAAACTATATAGGTCAAGGCTGGGACTTGAATGCTTGCAGTATAATTCTAGTGTTAATACTCTTACCCATTATGCCAATACATAGAAATGAGAGACTAAATATTGGTGGAAGGAAATAAAGGAGACAGCTCTCTCTATCAGATAGGAAAGTGTGGTGCCTTGTGTGGGTTTATTCTTTTTCCAAGATACACACCTTGACTAATTCCATGACAAGATACAGTTCCGTTGGCACATCCATCTCTTCGATCAGAAGAACAATATTGGGATGCTTCACTCTTCTTAAAATAGACACCTCATTCTGGATCATGTGCTCCTGTTTAAGGGAAGAGTTACCTTAATCAATATACACATCAAAACATATGAGGAGCTAACTCCAATGAGTGAAGCTATACTATTTGAGGATCAAAGGAGATATGTTTTGGTAAAATATGATGAGTATATCTTAGATTCTGACACTCAGCCTAGAATTGCCAAAAGATGTTGCAGGTCCTCAGATGATGCTTGCAACCTATCAGTATAACTATAATCACATATAGAAGGATAGAATGAAACTTAGATCACAAAAGTAAATTAAGAAGCAAGCAAACAACAATAAGGAACAGAAATAACATATAATCATTCCAATTAACTTTTATTCCAAGAATATTTATAAAATTATATTCCAATAAATATATAACATTGTATTCCACCAAAATGCAACTCCTGGGGTGAACTTATGTTTATTTGGGAACTGGTCTGTGTGTTTCTACCTCCCCACCCCCACAACACTATATTTTCATAACAATAAGCCTTATACATACTTTGCCTCGACATTTGCTTTTCTTGATAATTTTCAGAGCATACTCCCTAGCGGTTGATCTGCAAAGAGAAAGTTATTTGTAAAAAATAAACTTAATTTCAAATCTGTTGAGTCATTTTGCTAAGGATTAATTTCTTATCCCCAGACCTTGCATCAAACTGGTATAAATATTTTGTAAAAGACTCTTTTTCCTTTTTACAAAGAAATATGTAAACCTTAAGGGGTTGACCAAGTGTAAGGATAACAGCTATGCTAGCATAGAAACATCCTGAGCTGTTTTTTTTAAAGATTTTATTTATTTATTTGTAAGACAGATAGAGCACAAGCAGGTGGAGCGGCAGGCAGAGGGAGAAGCAGACTCTCTGCTAAGCAGGGAGCCTGATACGGGACTCGATCCCAGGACCCTGGAATCCTGACCTGAGCCGAAGGTAGACGCTTAATTGCTTGAGCCATCCAGATGCCCCATCCTGAGCTGTTTAATGTTATACTTGTGATAAAACCACCACTACTGGGGTGCCTGGGAGGTGGCTCAGTCAGTTAAGCATCCTGACTCTTAAAAAAATAAAATGAAAGCGTTCTGACTCTTGATTTTGGCTCAGGTCATGATCTCAGGGTCCTGGGATGGAGCCTCATGTCAGGCTCTGCGCTCAGTGGGGAGTCTGCTTCAGGATTCTCTCTCTCCCTCTCCCTCTGCCCCTCCCCCCAGCACACTCTCTCTCTCAAATAAATAAATCTTAACCCCAAAAAACCAGGACTCTAGAGTTCTTGAGGACTCTCCTTCATATACAACCCAGCCAACACTGCCCTTCCTCCGTGATGGATGTGGGAGGGAGGGTTTAGTCATATAGCTACCTTTAAATAGCTTCCTAACTTGTGCTAACATTTCTAAGATAGTGTAGTGCCAAAAAGGACAGCTCTATTGTCGAAGGACATATACTTAATAATCATAAGAAACCACTATTTTACAAGCATTTCCACTTCATTTCTGGTGGGGAACCAAAACAGCTTAGCTTTTTACCCATCGATAAAAGCCAACTTTAGGGATCCAAATGAATACAGTGGGAGTGGGGTTGATTAGGAACAAAAGTTTAAAATAGGGTTTTAACATCTTCAGTATGGAGAATCAAAGGCGGGGGGGGATTTCCTAGTTACGTGTTTAGAGCAAGAGTGATCTGCCCATAAATTAAGAGGTCAGATATTAGCAGTGTGTCCCGAGGGCATTTTAGACACCATTTCATGTCATTTGCTAAAACTGCTTCTCCCACTCGACTTCCAGGCCCCTGCGTGTTAGATAAATGGGAGAGTGAAGTTATGCACATGCAAGGAGATTCCTCACATCATAGAAGGACCACAGGGTCCCTTTAAGTGGTCTCTTCTTAAGAAGCTTTTGAAGAGTTTGTTTGCAAATTTGAAAACCCTTAGTCAAGAGGAAAACTAAACGCTGAAGATTTCTGGATTCTGCTTTTCACGAATCACTAAGAAAACGAAAATAAAACAAATCTGAGATTCGAATCCGTGAACCCTTTCCTATCTGGTTTAAAACGTTTCATGTGATGACAGAGAAAACTAGACTATTGGACTGACCGCTGTGATCAAAGCCAGCGATCCCAGGCAGGACCAAGGAGCTGGGATGGAGGTAACACTCCATTCTGTGCTTCCACAAAGGGGACGGATGACGGGACAGTATTGGTGAGAAGGGGGATTTCTTAGTTTTGTCATTCCCCATGTTGCCATTTGATCCTCTTGTTTCCCTGGAATAAGTAACATTACAGGACTCAAAGCAAAGGGCTGGCGTGGGACCGGGAAGACTGAGTCCCCCCAAGAACCAGAAGGGCAAGGAGCAGAATCTCCAAGGAGCAAGTGGGTGTGTTGGCTGCCAGGACACCAGGCAAACTAGGTTATGTCCTGAGCCTCGGGCTGAAGGGAAAATGTGAGCAAGCCTGGGCTGCAGTGGCCTCAGGGCTTACTAGGAAAGCGGACTTTATGGGTTCCACACCCAGAACCTTACATAATAGGATTCAACACTCAGTTAGATTGACCCGTATTTTATATCAGACAGAGAGCCCTGTAGAGGACCACCAAAATTAATACTGCAAGTTTTCTTTCTTGATTCCTTGAGGGCAGAACTATAAAGTTATAATCCTCAATTATTGGAAGTTTATGTTTATAGGAAAGCAGCTGAGTCTGGAAAATAAGCCTGAAAACAGGTGTTAGTACTAAATGTATTTCATAAGAATAAAAATTTAACTTCTTGCTTTAAGTTGGTAAATGAAAACACTTGGCAAGAAATAAAACCTTAAACAAAGTATTTGCCTTCCTGCGTACCCGAACTCTGAGGACCTCTGTGCCCGTGGAATTACTCAGCGAGTGGTTATGAGCATGGTTCTTTGGTGGCTACAGAGGTGAACAAAACCCGGGCATTTTAGACACAGGTAAGCAAAACCTGGTCCTTGTCCCCAAGGAGTCTATAGCTGGTTGTGGTGAGAATGCTAGACACGGGGATTGCTGGTGAAACTACAGGCCATTCGCTTGTTTGTCCCTGAAGTGACATTCTTGACCTAGCACGAAATCACAGAGCCTTGAATGCCGCGGCCAAGGCAGCAGCAGTGGCTGGACAAACTTTGTTTGCTTTTTTCATCCTATATGGGAATTCAATTTGTAAGGTCCTCTTCCTATTAAGTTTGACCCAAGGTTAGAGCCTGAACTATTACGAGAGAAATTTTCAAATTTTACAAATTTGAACTAAATCCAATTTTTAATATTTGTGCTAAAAATACAATGGTTTGGAGAAAGTTGTCTTGTTTAAACTTAGTGATTCTAGCCCAGGGTCAATCTGCTCCCCACCCTCCTCCCTCACCCTGGGACGGGGGGGGGCAGGGGGGCAGCAGAACGCTTATCGATTGGGATGTCCTGGACTAACGTGCTTTTTGTTGTTGCTGTTATGGGAGGTTTGCTAGGTTTTCAAGGTACTAAAAAAATTTATGCAGAAAAGGAAAAACAGCTTCCCAGGCATTCCCATAGTAGCATGTGATGAATTTCACGGCCATCCTTCCATTTCGGGTTTGGTTCTCAAGCGGAGGGACTGGGGTCTTGTCCCTCTTTGTAGCCCTGTATGAATCCAGGGTATGGCCTGGACTAGCAGGGGCTCCAAGCATGTTGGTTGAGTTGTGAAGATTCCAGAGGACGGTGGCAGTTGGGACCCCTCAACAAAGAGGGGTTAGTAAACACCGCTGTTTGTTTGCTACATAATCATAATAAAGCCCATCTCAGCCTCCTCCTAAGGGGGTAATTGTGGAGAGCAGAGAATTGAGGCATCCCAGAGTGTCTGGTCAGACATCTCTGGAGTAGAGTTTGATTTTGAATTTGAGCGCAAGCCCGGCGCCAGAGCATCCTCAGGAAGGAAAGAAGGAAGAAAGAGCACGGCCAGCTAGCTGAGACTCAGCTCAGCTTCGTCCTGACTCACCCTCCAAATCACACTTCGGAAGGAAATGCCTTCAAACCACAGGTATGAGGTTTTGGAGGTTCTTGAGAATTCTGAAGACTTTCTAGGTAGATGCAACCTGGTTTTGTGGCCCTGAAGTCTCAACCTGTTCGGATGTTCGGATGGGTTTGAGCCCACGAACACTCACTGCTCAAGCCCACAGTTTCCTTGAGCAGTTCCTCGGGTTTATAGGAGAGGGAGGGAGAGAGGGAATCAGGAGCAGCTAGAATTTTAATACAATTCTGCTGCATACATTGCTAAAAAATGCAGTGCAGGTGAAGAGGAGGGCCAAGAGCCACGGGAGACACTGTCACTCCTCTTAACTGCGCTGCTGGTACCCTTGGCTTGTATGCTAATTAGTCCTTAAAGAGCCAGGAAAGCCAAAGATGAAAGGCCCCTCATTGCGAGTCCTCTACTCATGCTCTGACCTCTCGCTAGTGCTTTTGAGCTCTCGGAGTTCTCTTTGGGGCCTCAGGTGGTCTATAAAACGGCTTCAGAATAGAGCAAGTCTCAGTTCACCCACTTCCTTTGGCATGTCCTAGGGGCTCCTGAGGCCACTGGAGAAATTACTAATGGGGAAGAGGCAGAAATCGAAATTGACCTGGTAGCCACTACCAAAGGATATGCTGGGACGGGACCATGGAACAAAAGGCCTACTCAACACTATTATTGCGTCCATTGTTGTAGGAAGACCTTCTCTGGGACGGCATCTTCTGAACAGAGGAGGGACATACTTGCTCTTGTTAAGACATATGCATCCTTCAAAATATGACAGGATGTACCCGCAAGCAATGTGTGCCATCACAACATGCTTAGCTTGCTTTTATTTTCTTGGACCTCTGGAAAATATTAAAAGAATGTTTCATGATGCCTCCAGGGAGAGAGGGCACATGCCATATGTCCTCCTTCAGCAGGAGCGGAACACTAACACTTGGTGGAGCAATCTGGTGTGTAGACTCGGAAGGTTCCTGTGATGAAACCCAAGATGTGAACGCATGCAAAATGACCACAATCCAAACTGGAAAGAAAGACATTAATTCTGGATGGAGACATGAGACATTTCCATTGTGGGAAGACCAGTAACTGTTGGGCGAAGCCGCCCTCGTGATCCCTGCGCTAGCTAGGAGAGACAGCACAGAGCTGCCATGCTAGTCTCAACAGATGACGCACACTGGCAGATCATCAGATACCCCACGTAGGAAGGGCATGGCAATCTGCTCAAAATGGGATTTCGTGCTACAGTGGAAAAAAAGGTTAAAAAGAGTTGAATTTACTATCAGTAAAAGTATAAGTGAAATATAAAATTATATAAACACACACACACGTCCATCCGTTGCCTTAAGACCGGCTTTCCTGATTTAATTTCTATCTTTTTTGTACGGGGACAAATGCGGTGTGTGTCACTTTAGATCAGCCAAGCTACATTCTCCTGAGAGACTCTTTCTTGGCGGCAATAGAATGGTCAAAAGTGTGGGTGTTGGACCCAGGTCTTCCTAAGTACCTACTAGCTGAGCAACCTTGGGCATTTAACTTCTTAAGGCGTTCTTTGTCTGCTATAAAATGGAGACAATATTGATATTATGGGATCATTATGACAATTACATGAAATATCATAAGGGCTTTGCATATAGTTGACGCTCAGGAAACAGTGGTTGTTCCTGTTTCTGGAGGTGTGAGGCCTAGGAAAGTAATGGAGAACTTTCTGTATTTGGTAGTGATGTAACAAATGGCCAAACTCTGGTGGCAGTGGGGTGATTGAGGGACAGAGAGGAGAAAAGGTGGCCTCACAGTCACTCCTAAGGGGTTTTTCACACTACCATTCTCAAGCCCATCCCTCACAAAGACTGGCTGCTACAGTGGCTTGCTGGAACTGGTGGGAATATTCCAGCCCAGCTGCCATGCTGGGCGGGGACGGCGGAGGGGGGGGAGCAGTTTTGAGACTTAATGCCCAAGGGTATCTTCACGAGGGCTCTGCCACCTCAGTTAGGGAGGCATCTTCCTAAGGGTGGCAAAGGGGGCAGGAGAGCAAATCACTGGCCAAACTCAGGACCCTAGTGATGCCTGAGGCCCTGTGTAGGCTCCCAGCTCCAACGTGGCATGAATCTGCACTTCTAAATCAAAGCTCCTGGAGAAGAACAAGCTCCGGATCTTGCGAGGCTAAAGCTTCTAGTCCAAGGCATCCTCTCTGAGTGGTAGAGCTGAGCGAAGGAGCATTATTCTCACACAGTGCTGACTAGTAGGCGCCCAGCCTCCCTGGGGGCAGACAGAAGTGATAGGGAAGCCAGCCCCCAGAAGCCAGCAGTGAAATCTTCCTCAAGGAAGAAAGCAGGTTCCCCCTGACTTTTCAACGCTCTGCTCACCAGTTCTGAGCAGGAGCTGCTAGCCAACCAGGTCCCTGTAGAGCAAGAAGCTGCTCAAGAAGTGAGTTCCAAATCCAACACTGGGCTGAGGGTTTGAGGCCACCTTAATCCGGGCTATGACTTTATTGGTTGTCACTTCATCTAGTAGCCACCGGCCACTGTCCTTGATTAGGTATCAAGATCTCAGGGATAAACATCTTACTCCAAACCTCTTGCCTTTGGCCCCCAAGAGTACCAAGCTCATTCATTTGAAAACTTTTTAATGGATTAAACACTGTTTTTGTTGGGATCAGTACCTACGCATTTTAAAGCTTTTCAAGGTTATTATATTTAATTTGATGATAGTCAGTATGTTAGACTACACTGTATACAAGAATGTTCTGACCTCTACAAAATGTCTCAGAAAAGTGTCGAAAAAAACCATTCAATATGTTTTTTTTTTAACACAATAAAAGGGCTTACGTGAAAGATCTGGCCAATTTTGCTGAGTACATTAAAAAGGAAAAATCAAAGTCCTTAATTTATAGATTGTCCCAGGAATCACTACATTTTTCAAATCTGTTGCTAGATGGGCTTTTCTTTCTTTAGAAAAAAATTTTTTTTCTCCATCTGGAGTTGAGACATTAACCTATTCCATATGTACCACAGACGGCAAATAAAGACACACTCTTGGAAAACATAATGCCAAGTGTTTCCTTTAAAGTACGACGCAGATGATACCCTTCTCACCTTTCTACACATTCCTTGACGACAGCAAAATTTCCATCTCCTATTGTCCTTCCGACTTTATACCGTTCTGTTATTGTGGCTGGAATCTGGAAGCCTTCCTCCGACACTTCTGAAAGAATCGTTAGTACATTTTTGTTGGTAGAAAAGGGAACACAGATGTTGCACCAGAGAGGCATTTAGAAGGATAATCTCATAGACTGGAACCGATTCAGAATCGATATGTCACTTTCCGTACAGTGAGGCAAGCCCCCCGCCTCCTTCCCCGCTGACACCGTATACTCAACAGTTTTTACCAAGACGAATGATAAACCGAAAGGAAACCTAAGACGTATGGGGTCCACTTCCACCAGTGGGAGGGCGACCAACACATTCTGTGGCCAAGGAGGAAGTTTCGGTCTTTGTGTTTCATGCCAATTTGAGCTATGGTGTTTACGGAATACCCACTGTCTACAGAGAAATGACATTCCTAGGTGTGGCTCAGGAGGAAAATGTAGCTTAGAGGGGACTCTGGGCTGCCTGACACAGTGCAAGCATGAAGCATCCCTGCTGTTTGGACACTTAGCTCTACTGCATCCTGAATTGGAGATCTCCGTAAAATTCCTTATGAACTAAGCCCTGATTGTCCGCCCCGCCCCCACGCCCAGTATCAATGAGCAGATTTTAGACAAATGTTCTCACCAGCAACCTGCATAGCAGATGTTGAGTTAAAATGGCAATATTTATTATGTCTGTGAACAGAACAGTTTTGTAGTTTCAATTATGTTAGTGCCACTAACACAACACATTTTCCCCCTTAAAATGCATTTTGAAATATTTTACAAATGCCTAATAATGCTTTAAATATCTAAGGCCATAAAACTAAATAAGCCACACTTAGGTCACATAAATATACTGGATAACCTTTAACATCTTCGGGGTGTAAAAAGCCTTTTATAGCTGGGCTCTAAAATTTACATGCTTTAAAGTTATAAATCCTAGCTCTCCCTCAGGCAACCTGGATACAAAATGGGATGGAAACCTAGTGTGCTTTCTGAATGTGCTCCTATTCTGACCTTTAATCATAAACTGAGACTAAATATTTCTTCTCAAAATAAAATTAAAACCTCAGGTGGTGCCTAGGCTTTCTCGGTGATTTCTGTCTTCTCCATTAGCCTGCAACCCTGGGCAACGACAAACGGAAACTCACAATTATCACACATCTGCTTTAGGACCCTTATGTTGGTTCTGTGATCTGCACCACTCTGGGTTCTAGGGTGGATGGAATTTCTGGAAAGGGTTGTACAAACGTGGGACATTTGCTGCGTTACTTTGACCCTTGGCATCTGTACAGCCTCTTTACCTCTTTATGGGTGACAGTTAAGTCCTCACCCACTAGAAGCTATCACAGTGGTCTCTGGAATAAAGTGACAGCTGCAGCCAATTAACAACGCCCCCCCCCCCCCACCGCCAATCCCCACCGTCTCACACTCAAAGAAGCCAATAATTTTAACTCTGTTTGAAAGACTCAGACTGGGGATTTTTGTCTACTCCATGGGAATTAGAGGAGATCGTGGGAGAAGTTTCAAATCTATTGCAAAGCACCCGAATTTATAAAACATCTCTCAGATGACACGGTCTTAAGGCTCTTTACTACATGGATAATAAAAATAACCACCCTTGGCTGTCAGAAGCAAGGCTGACTCCAGATGAGAAATGGAAGGAGGTACTTCACCCTTCCTTCCACTGGGGGCATCACTGAGGCACGAATCTGGAGCTCATGGATTTGGGTTTTTTTTTTTTTTTTTCCCTATTGATAAAATGTATCCTTGAGGCTTTTGGCTAAGAAGGCTGTGCCAAAGTCTTAGCCAAGGACCATTTCATTTCATTAGGTAAATACAGCACAGCGGAACAAAAGAGACTACTAGGATGGCTGAATTTCATACTTCTGGAAATACAAAAAAAAAAAAAAAATCTGATATTGCACAGTAGTCAGGAATTCATGTGCAAATCACTTATCTCACTTGACATAATAAAAGGTACTTTTTTTGGAAAATTAAATCGTATCACTTCAAACAAATAAGGGATGCTGATTCTTTTTTTTCTCTTTTTTTTTTTTAAAGATTTTATTTATTTATTTGACAGAGACAGAGATAGCGAGAGCAGGAACACAAGCAGCGGGAGTGGGAGAGGGAGAAGCAGGCTTCCTGCCGAGCAGGGAGCCCGATGCGGGGCTCGATCCCAGGACCCTGGGATCATGACCTGAGCCGAAGGCAGACGCTTAACGACTGAGCCACCCAGGCGCCCAAGGGATGCTGATTCTTTAACAGTGGCTTGATCATACCAGTCTTATACTTTTCTAAATACTTTCCCATAATTGATTTGAGCCTGAAAATGACCCCCAGGAAGGAAGCAGGCATATATTACAATCTTACACAATTTTATAGAAGAGGAACTAAGATGTAGAGAGCTGAAGAGGCTTATCCCAAACAGTCCAATGAGGGGAGTCTGGGTAACTCAGTTGGTTAAGCATCCAACTCTTGATTTCAGCTCAGGTCATGATCTCAGGGTCCTGAGATCGAATCCTGTGTCAGGCTTTGCGTTGGGGGTAGAGCCTGCTTAAGATTCTCTCTCCCCCCCTTCCCCCTCAACCCCACTCCTTGCTCTCTCTCCCTCTCTGAAAAAAAAAAAAAAAGAAGAAAGAAAGAAAGAAAGATAAAATTGAAAAAACAAAATAAAACCAAAAACAGAACAATTCAGTGAGTTAGTGAAAAAGTCAGTTCTGGAATCCAGGTCATTTTGACCCCATCACAGAGAAATTCTAAAATGACCTAACTTAAGGTACAAAGAATATTTTTGCAATTGCCATCAAGTAATTCTTTTTGTAAAGCCGTACTTTCACATATTGAGTTCACTTTAGTTAGAGTACATCTGTAGAGCTGTAACAGTCAATCAAGAGAGTAAATTATCTTTAATATACTGAAAATGAACAGAATTTGGGAAGACAAAGGCAGCAATTACTTCCTGTTGTTTTCAAAGTAGGCAATAGCTGGCCTTCTTAGAATACTTATGCCCTCCGAGGATGTGAAATATCTCCAACAAATTAGGCTAATTCCCTCTTCCTGTTCCCATAGAGTAGATATGATCCCTGGGGGAAACCATATGCAATCCTATCCCTATAAGCTGCTTTAGGCTTCTATTTCATAATGCTGGAGAAGTTACAGTCTCCTGAAGTAAATTTAGCCAACTCATCCTCTGCCCCCTGTAAGACTTCTCCTCAGACACCAAGTCCCAAGCTCACCACCTTCTCCAGGCCCATCGTTCTCGTCCATTGAGCTGCAGACTTTGGTGGATGCAAGGGAAGTAGAGGAGCCTCCATGTTGAGAGCTCTGTAAGGGAACAGAAACAGGGAATAAAAACACTTGGTCAGAGTGCCAGTCTGCAGATGCTAGGCCCAGCCCAGAATCTTGGGGGATAACTGCACCCATCACCAGGGAGGATTTGGTCTTAACACTCAAAAGGGAAGGTTCTTAAGACTATCCAATTAGGGGCGCCTGGGTGGCTCAGTTGTTAAGCGTCTGCCTTCGGCTCAGGTCATGATCCCAGGGTCCTGGGATCAAGCCCCGCATCGGGCTCCCTGCTCTGAGGGGAGCCTGCTTCTCCCTCGCCCACTCCCCCTGCTTGTGTTCCCTCTCTCACTGTGTCTCTCTCTCTGTCAAATAAATAAAATCTTAAAAAAAAAAAAAAAGACTATCCAATTAGATTACTTCTCTTTCCCACCCTATTAACCAATAATAGATGGTTTAACTGTGTCAGGATAATCATTCTAAATTTGGATGTTCCATGACTATTTGGTCTTTTTTCTCAAAAATCAGCATTCCTTAGCTCACTGTTTAGGTTTGTCAGATTTTAAGCATCTCACCTCACTTTTCCACAGTCTATCTGCAAACAGGCCTCAAACATGGTGCCACTCTGATCTCATCCAAAATATTTTCTATTCTTACCATAGAAAAAAAAATTCTCTTCAGTTTGTTTTATGGATTATCCTAAAAGAAAAATACTGAGGCTTACCACATTCTTGGAGAAAGGTTAAAGAGTGGGTTTGTTAATTCCACTTGAGATTGAGACACAAGCAACTAAGCAGGTTATCGATATGTTAAATGTTACAAAATAAGGCTGAGGCAAGGACAGGAATTAAAGCCTAAGCCTGGTGATCCCCTTGTATTTTTGGTGTATTTTGACCCAAGACCAATGAGAGCAGGCAGGATAACAACTATATGACAAAGCTCAGAGGATGAAACAATACCAAATATTTAGTACTATGATTAGCTACGGGGCAGTACTTTAACAATGAACCTTTCCATCTCTGCTTCTATTCCTTGAGAACACAATTTGCATATTTCAATGCTATTTCTAAACAGTGAACACAGCTTGTCCTAAAAGATCTTCCTTCTGTTTCCCTGGGTTTATCCACTCGGTTGGCCTGATGGGAGCGGGAGGCGGTGAGGGGGCAGCATTGGCTCATGGTGCTGGCTGTCTGTGGAGCAGAGAGAAGGGAAAGAGCATCTGTAGTTGAATTGATAATGAAGAGGTGGCGAGAAGCCAAGTTGACCTATTTTTCCTCTGCTTACCTGTTCCCCTTCAACCTCCTCCCCATTCCATCCAGCCTTAACTGTACACAAAGTAGGAAGAGAGAGTTTTATATATTACCCCCAACAGTATCTTGCATAGAAAAAAACAAAGATTTTAGTTTTCACCAAAAAGATGAATATCATTGGGAAAATGTTACTTAAATCATTGCAGGGCCATTTGAGTCCACTGCCTGTTTTCCTGGGTGCAGCTAAGATACGCATGTTCCATTGGACAAGTTCACCAAAGCTGACTGTTGACATTGGGGTGAAAGTTAAATTCACAGCAGGGATGCATCTGCTTCCTTATAGGACATCCTACAAGTTTTGTGGTTACTCTAGTCTACCCCTGAATGACACATAGTTTGTGTGCTGTGTCCTTTCTTTTCCCGTATCCTAAGAATCTGCCACCCATCAGTCTGGTGACTTGAGCGGTTCTTTTCATCCTTTCTCATCCAGCCTCCCTTTGAGATGAGCAGCACACATTTACCCTCTCTCAGGCTAGAAAGAGGGATTCCGATTGTGACCTTGAAACAGTTTTCTTTTGGAGTGACACTAACTATGTGGTCATAACCAACTCTGTCGAAGGTACTGTAAATGTATGAGCTTCTAAGTCGTGCTCTGCTGACTTTTACGGATGTCTGTTTGTGAAAACCTTGTATTTGTAATATTGGAACACAAGGCTTAGACAAGGCAGATTTATGATGTCCATGTCTAGAGAAAATAAACATTAACATTACCACATCTGAGGGGAAGGTGTGTGTTTTCCAGAAGGTGAGATCTTTTATCCCCTGTGTGATTGCTTTTGCTGTAGACATAATGTTGTTCCAAGCAGAAAAGCGGTAAGTAAATGTCTAAAATGTAGACCTTCTCTTCTGGGCTTTCTGATCCTTGAATTTCTTCCAGCAGCATCGCAAGTGGTGTTTAATAATGTAGACACATTGTGGTTTGGGGTGGCAGGTGCTGTCTTGTCATATGGTGTTTTAAATTTTAGAATACAGAGACACATTCTTTCATCAAGTGCTCGAATTAATAGACGAGTAGCGTGTTTCCTAGCAAAGATGTCCACATTTATGTACTCGATTCCAAAAGCTTGTTCTTTTAATAAGAACATCAGATACTCAAAATAGAACTCTGACCCAGAGTATATGAAAACATCTTTTAAACTGTAATGTTCGATCCACTTACTGGATATTATTCACAAAAGTGCCTTATCAACTAACAAATTGCATTTTCAACAGTGCCACCAAACGTCTGATGCCCTGAATGCTTGCCACAATGTCAGCTGTGTTTTCTCTGCCTTATGGACAAAAACCCCTCAAGGTTTTAGGCTCTGGTTAAAAAAAAAAAAAAAAAAAAAGTAGGATTAACAAAGTTTGCTTACGTTTAGAATTGCTTATTTTCAACTTTAGGTTTACAAATGTCCCCCCAAGTAATTTCCAATTTCATGCTGAGGGTAACAGACCATTTCAAGAGAAAAAATTTATTTCCTTACAAATAGAAAACAGAGTGGAAAGTAGTCATTTTATTTATTATGCTCAAATACAGTAAAATAAATGTATTAGATTCCTAATGGCGTTATCCCTTCTTTTTCCCAAAGAGGTAAGATAGTTAACATTATACACTTTTCCAAGACAATGATTATTCATGGCTTCAAAGAATTTCAGAGATTGGAGTAGACTTTAAATATTACCTTTCCACCTTACTTCCATCCAGAGGCCAAATTCCCACTACAAAAATCCCAGCCATTTAGTCAAATAGCCTCTGTCCAACCACCTCCACTACTGAACACATTATTTCCTGAGATGGCCCCTTAACTGTTGATATGAGACAAAGAAAGTTCTTCCTTATGTTAAAATGATGTCCTTCTACATTTTCCATTTATTGGTCTTAGCTCTCACCTCTGGAGCTACCCAGTGCATATGACAGTGCTCCAGGAATTTGGAATAGCTACTGGACTCCTTCTTTTCTTTTTCAATTTGGATATTCCCAGTTTTTTGGTTTTTTTTGTTTTGTTTTGTTTTGTTTTTTATTGTTCTTCATAGAATAGGGCTCCATGACCCTTTAACCATCCTGTGGATACACTCCAGTTCTCAATATCTCTAGTTAATGCTAGGGCTCAAGAGAAATGTAATATTCTAGGTGTACCCTGACCGGCACAGAGCAGAGGACAGAGCTTCTGCCTTGCGAATGGGATAGTAATGCACTTAAAGATCACATGGGCCTAGTGATAGATAGCACTGTAACTTTTTAGCCTAACAGTATGTCCGATCTCCCTAGTCTGTATTTGGGAGTTTGGTGTTTTGGATCGAGTCTTAAGACTTCACATTAAATGTCATGCTTATTACATTGATATCCTTGCAGACCGTTATTTTTTAGATTTTCCTTTTGTCACCTAATGTTTTTGCTCTTCTCTCCCAGTTGAAGTGATTCAGTAATCATCATGGCTCTTTGTGTATACTAGTTACTAATCCTAAATATACTAATTTAGACAGTGCTGGAACACACTGATTACTGCCCATAAGTCTGATTGAAGGATTTTGAAAATAGTAAAGGGAAAATGTGTAAATTCTTGCTCTTTAAAATTAACCCAAAGAGATTAATCAGCCTTTATTTATGACCAACAGAAGCTGAAAAGCCCACTTGTATTTTTGCATGCTTACAAGTGAAATCAGTTTGCTTATTTGGTTTTTCTGAACAGATAAACCATTTTATAGTGTATATAATGATAAGATTTTGTGTTTGCTTCAGTTTGCTAATTCTAAGGCATCTGGGTGGTATAGTACAGAACATACAGTTATTTTAGAATTTAATGCAATTAGGTGCTCTAAGAGACACTGTGACATTTGAAATGTTATCACCTCCAAGCAGATTTAATGGGAACCAGGTGAGCAGGCTGCTGGCACCTGGCTGCTTTTATGACACACCTTCATAAAAGTACTGCCCTAAGTAAGAACACATCCTAAGTGTAGCTACTTAGCTTGGGATCACATAACAGATGGAGAACATATCACACTTTTTGAAGTAAATGAGAAAGCTGACATAATAGCTCTAACCACATTTTACCAAGATGTAGCTGATGACTATGTAGTTAAAAACAGTTCATTTAAAATATAATGGTACTAGTTACCCCTGCCATTTGTATTAATGGTGTCACTCAACTGAGGACTACACTGAATCAAGTTTTCAAAAATATCCAATTAATCCAACTGATCTACATAAGGTAGAAAAATCTCTCCAGATAACTTTAGCTTTGACTGGATAATCGTATCACTTCCGCTTCACATTCTATCTTGGCACACAATTATTACTTTGTTAATACTGATTTGAAAATTGTAAAAAAAAAAAAAGAACTTACAAATCAAGTGGCTCAACTTTAGAAAGGAAACACAACCAGTAAATACTTAACAAACTCAAACTACTGTCTTGGTGATCTTGACTTGAGGTCTACAGAATCTCTAAAGATGACCACCTTTAATAAAAAAAAAAAATTAAATCATACTCTTGGTGTTGAAAGCTTGAAACCTGAGGATTCTATGTGTGTCTAGAAAAAGCCACACATTCATTTGCTTTCCAAGTGCGTATAGAACAATAAGCTGGTGACATCAATCTATAATAACTAATAAGGTTCTATTATGTGAAACAAGGCAAAGGGAATTCCTTTTTCCAAATCCTTCTGTCTGCATTCTTCATAGCATGTTTAGCCCAAATACAGTTTATGGCATAGGTAATCACATGCATAACAAGAATCAATATTGAAAACTGTAAAATATTATCATAAAGATTTGGTCAAAGTTTTTAAAGGACTGGAGAATGGTTATTCATGAAATTCGTTTACTCAGAGAAAGGAAAAATGAAAATGGGAATACTGGCATTAAATTGATGTTAGTGAAGCCACCCACATGTTTAGTTACAACTTTGTTTTATCAGGCAGCCCTCTTGGCCTCTTACGTCCAGTCTCTATACTCACTTAGGCCAAGATCTATAAATTCAAAATCTGCACCATTTGTCCTGATATTCCCATTGTGTCTGGGAGAGGGGGGAAGGGACACAATGTCTCTTCTTAGGAATTACTGTTCATGAAATCATAGCTTGGAAGGGGACCAGAAAGTCATCTAGTTTTTCACCTCTTGATAAAATAATTCCCTCTGTGATTTACCCCTCAAATGAGATTCCTAGTCTGTGGGAAGGGAGTTCACTACTCTTCCAGGCACCTGCTATACTTTATATTATTTTATTTTTTTTTTAAGATTTTTATTTATTTATTTGAGAGAGAGAGCATGAGAGGGGGGAGGGTCAGAGGGAGAAGCAGACTCCCCGCTGAGCAGGGAGCCC